ATATATATATGTATATATGTATTATACAGTATAGAGAGTCTAGACGACCTGAACAATCGGAGTGTGGAGCAAGCCGGCAACCCTAGGGCTCCTGGCATGTGGTTGGCCAGTGCCTTTCGGACAGAACCGGTGTAGGAGTCGTCCTTGGCTGCTGGGTTTAGTGTTTTGGGTTTATGCTGGCATAAGGAGGCCCTAACCGAATGCTAGCTGTTGGGGGGCGGGGACCCGCATTCTGGTTAGGGTCAGCATCTGCACGTACGATTTATCAGTGATTTGTGGAACCTACATCGCAGAAATATTGTTGAACTGCTGTTACCTATACATGCCAAGAACCGCATCCGTACCTATGGTAGCGAGCCGGTCGAATCTGTATCTTCATCCAGTCGAGCAGCATTACGTACGGTGCTGTGCGATGCCAATATGTTGCTTCTGCTGCAGTTCTTCTTAACAGTGAGAGGCTTCGACAGTGAACGGGCCAGTGCAGTTTTGGATGCAAGCCAGCGGTCAATCCTAATTACGGTTCCGAGGCACTGTGAATCCCTAGTTGCATTGGTGTCCCTGTATTATGAAACTACAACTTGCTAACGGCCACAGCAAGCAGTTTAGGTTAGTAACACTGTAACATTCGTACCCGGAACTCTGGCGATGGAAGCCCTTGTAGCACCACCAGGCACTAGTTCGTCTGCAAAGAGTGCTGGGAACAGCAGGCAGCATTGCTTGCGAATGCCATGAGCATTAAGCACCGTACATGCACGACTGACAGCTGTAAGACAGTCGCACTACAAAAGCCTTTGCTAGCAAGAAGCCCAGCACATCACAACGGACGGCACCACGACACTGCCAACAACTCAGTCTCGCAAGTCTTCCCCACAGTTGACCCCTGTACCACGAAGATTAACCTTCGCTGCACGTACCTACTACTGTAGCAGCTGACATCCTGCGAGCAACGCTCGCGCAAAGGAGTTGCCGCAATGAGCGATGTCGAATCTTCTCATTTCTGAAAGCACTGTATCGCGAAAAAACATTTCGGTGTCATTTGTGGCTGAGAGGAAACAAAACGTCACAATGCCATGGCACAGCTATGCAAGCCAAGGCCATGACGTGTGGCTTACGCAGGCATGTAGACATTGAGACCGACGAAGAGTCGGGTCTGCGGCTAACAGAAACTAGCGATAAGACAAAGGTACACAAAGAGAAAGAGAGAGAGAGAG